ATATTTGGCCCAAATAACTTTCAAGGTCTGTGTTCTCTGCAGTCACCTGGTGGTTATCATGTAAGTTCAGTTGTTTTCAAGATCTTTGTTTATAGAGCTGAAAGTTTCAATGAGTTTCTGAAAACTCACCCACATAGTTTTACTTCAGTGAGTAGCACTATTATGTCTACCAGATTCCTGCCATGGGTAAACTCATTCCTACAGGTTCGTGTAGTAACATTAGTACAGCAACAGCAAACTGCTCCTTCTGTTATGATTTTGGGGGTAAATTAATATCTGGGTTAAAATCTAAGTTATTTTCTGAAATCGGGAGTATTATTAGGACCACTCTTGTCCCGCTGAGCAAAAGTAATGGTTTATCTGATACCACAGATTTTAATAAATGGATTATGCCATTTAGAAAGATATTAATGAATCATGTTGCCTATAGCTAGGTTATTTCTTCTGCCTTTAATATATAAACACAGGGAGCTTGCAGCTTAAGGACAAATGGAAAGAACTGCATGGTGCACTGTTGTCTTGTACTTTTGTTGCTATGGGACTTAATTGTATTACCCACTGTACTGTTAGATTTCAAAAGGGTAGTTCATAAGCACTAATAACATTTATGGCAATCTGAGCTAAGTTAATGAAAAAGATAATCAAATCCAGTACTACAGGGCAAGATATCTGATATCTCCAGGGGTCATAAAGAGATCATACAGCTGTCTTGGGGGCAGGGGGTGGTTGGATATGTGAGTGCAAGAGACAGCAGGAAAGAGAGGGTCACCTTGCTCAGAAGAACTGTGTGCTGGTCCCTGGCAGAGGCAGGAGGGGATGTGCTAGATGTATCACAGAGATGGAGATGCTTATTAAGCTAATGATATTTTTAGTAATGCCAATACCTGATATATAAGTTTCAGCTGATCCTAGACATTTGTCTCTATGTGTTGATTGAGGAAATGGATTAAGTAGTTCACATGTGCTTCTGCCTTGCCCATAGCAGGTATGTACTGCATTGGGAGCTGACCATGGATAGCATTGAAATAGCCCTTGGTTTTTTTGTTTTCTTTTTGGTAAACACCAACTGCAGTCACAACCTTACTTCTGAAGACAATGTGGTATTTTATTGCATCTCCAGGCAATACCAAGTGGTGACTCTTTCCTGCTTCTAACGGTAAACACAGATTATTGTGCGGACCCTTTCACCATCACATGTTGGTATATCACTCAGGGGTCCTGACAGTGGCTTATGCACTGAGTAGCAGCAGAAATAGTGCACGTTCCTTATAGGAATGTAACTGATAATGTTCAGCAAGCAACACTTGCAATGGGAATTGCAGCCAACACCCAAAAACTTGTTTTCTCTCACAGACTTATGCTATATTTATTGTGAGTACCACCTTCACCCTACTCTGCACTCTTGTACATTCCCTGTTAGCATTCTTTGTTTCTACTACTGCTTTCTTTTATACAGATCTGCTTTTGGCTACAGTAATATTTCTCATACCAAGTCCTAGCCATCTGAGGACATTAGGTGCTATAACCCTTGATGTGTGTGTACATGGCCAAGGATAGATGATTAGGAAAAACAAGAAGCCTACAATGGTGCACAGGCCCATCAAGCCTAAATCATGCAGCAATCACGTCCCTGAGATGCGCCTGTCACGCTCCAGTCACACGCCCATGTTGCATGATGGGTGCACGGCCTCTGCATGAATTTTCCCTTGACAGGGATGTGCCGGGGGCCTGCACCAAAGGCATTTGCTCATTACATATTTTTGCTTTGAGAAAAACAATAAATAGCTATATTTGATACCCGAGTAATTTTTGTTGTTGTTGTTCAGAACAAAACTATGCACAGAATTTCATGGGAAATATTAAAGAAAGAATTTTTGGTCCAAAAGCTTTTAGTATGATGGTCTGTATCTTTTTAAGAGTGTTCATGTGGTTTTCATGTAGTAATGCTTGAGTACTTTGATGTTCTCAAAAGGTGTATTTGTATCAAAATTTTCTACCTTCTTTCCATGTTTGTCAGAAAACTTTGTTAATTCCTAGGAGAAGTGTTATTTGTAATGTTTCCCCTGACTTTTTGGGGATTCAAAAAAACCACCCAAAATCCAGCTGCTAGGCTTTGGGGTTTACAATAGAACAGAAGAAAACACGGCTAATAAATTTGTCATGATAGTTAGAATTTAATTTCTATAAAGTTTGAATTGAAAAATAGTCTAACAGAAAAACTCGCTGAAATCTATCATAGGACAGCTGACTGTTTCCACCCACCCCATATCACAGTTCCTCAAGGCTTCACCATGTTTATATTCTGAATGCCTATAATACGGAGTTATTGAAAGTAAATCATGTTTTAATAGAGCAAGATACTGTGGTGTTTCTGTGGGGCTGAAGTTCAAACTAGCAATCTTCAGTGTGTAACACCAAATAGGTTTTGTTTAAGTTAATACTAAAGGGATATATATTTAGCTTTATTTCTTTCTCTGTTCTACAAGAGAAAAATTAATATCTCCTCTAAGGAAGTCACAGCTATTCCAGAGGAGTGAGTGACTACAAAGTTCCCAGCATTACAAACAGAGGTAGTTATTTTAAACATCATTCAGCTTTCTATATTGCTTTTCTCTCTTTCAGCATGGACTTTTCTCTCCCCAGGATGGAATCTCAGCTGCAAAACATCCAGATCCTAACTTACGTGTATGTGAATATTCAAGATTAATATATTCCACGTGGGAGAAATAGCCAGCACCATTCATTCCCTTTTCCTTTCTTGCTACAGAGTAGGCTGTTGAAAATGTGCCCAATGAAATTGCAGGTTCCTTCTCTACTTGCATGAATGAATTCTTTGTTTCTAATTAGAATTAGGTGAAGTACCTCTCCACATGGCTGGATGTCCAGAAGACAGGACAAATGAGTTTGAATAACTACTCTAAATTAAAGACAGAGGGAGTAAATTTACATCTATTTTTTTTTTCCCATATGATAATTTTTTTCCTTTCTGTCCCTGTACGGTGTGTTTTGGAGCTTTTTATACATGCACCCCAACATCAATGACTGAAACAGGTGTCCTAGGTCACAAATTGACTGGAGAGCAGGAAAGACAAGACTCATGACTTAAGTTTTCAAGCAAGTTGTTCTTTAAGCCAGAGGTAGGTGCCAGTTTATTGCCAACTTTACTGGATTAGATTAGAAACCTAAGCACAACTTTTTCATGTCCTCTTTATTTCATCTCTGATGGACTTGGGCAGACACTTACCACAGGTTCTGGGGCTGCCCCTCTTACACAGATCCCATACATTTCCTGGAAGGACTAGTACCTACAGGGACCAGGGGCCCGTGTGTTGGAGTAGGTTGCACTACAACACCAGCAAAGTATTTAATCTGTATTAGAGCTGGGCAGCTGAGAAAGCCCAGCCTGGGTACAAGCTGTGAGGCAGTTTCATTTTGCCTCTAAGTATGTCTGGGCATTATGTGCACAGCTGAGTAATTTTCTTGGCCTTGCCCTTTTAATAAAAGGAGGTTGTATTAAATGAGGATACATGATGGCACTGTTGGCCAGACTATCATTGTGTGTGGCCAACTGGCATGGCCACACATTCCTCTTCCTTTGCAGCAACTTGATCATTAATCTGTGCTTCCCAACACACAAACCAATCTTCAAGGCAGCTGGCAGTATCTGCTGACACACTGGAAGATAGGGAGCCTTTGGACTGACAGTGTCAAATGGGACCGATAAGGGTGTGTAGAGTGCTGCAAAAACAGCAGGTTGAGAGATGTGAGTGGTAGGGTGTGAATTGAGAACCTGTCAGGATGAAACCTGCGTATACCCCAACTTCTCTTTCCCCTGTGTGTCCTGGTTTTCACATTGAGGAAATTGGGAATGCCTTAGGCATGACTTGCAATGTCTCCTGCAGGTGCCTGTTGCAGTGTGAGATGTGCCAGGGCCCTGGGGCTCACCATCTCCCGGAATGGTTACAGCCGAGAGTGCTCCCTCTTATCTTAGGTAGGCTTATTCAAAATGTAGACTAATTTGCCATGGATTGGTAGGGGATTAACTTGCTAGGATTTCAGAACTGACGCCCTATAACATGGGATAAGGCTTGGCAGGGCTGGTGCTTAGCTGATGCTAAAAAGGGCTGATGGGCACTGGTGACTGCATGCAGTCAGTAACCCTTTACTCTGCTCTCCAGCACACTCCTCAGCACCTACTGACATCTGACATTTCATTATCCAGTATATCCCAACAGTCCCAGATAAAGACACCAATTTCATGCTGCTCTATTGACTCAATTCCCAAGCAGCTGGCTGAAGTAAAAAATGGGTTAAGCATTTAGACATTGACCATTATTGTATTAAACCAAGATCATATTGATTTTTAATCTTTGATAAGAATCTGAATCATAGCTTTAAAATTCACTGTGGCCCTCAAATATTTTTTACTTTGATTCCCTATATTTTTCTTTTCAGTTCCCTCAGAATATCCAGCATGAATACAAAGTTCTGTGAATCATCTCATTCATACTTTACACAGAGGTAATGCTGCCACTGTTCTAATGACCTGTTTACATAGCCAAAGGTGGTGCTGCAAGCTGGTATTCAATTGGTAATATTCTGATTTCTTGGGACACATGTAATACCACTAATTTTATGAATTAAAAATGGAAGAGATGCCATCAGCTTTTAAAAGTCATATTCCCCCTTGGCTCTTCTCATAACTACTGTTACAAGAAAGATTACTGGGATGACCATAGCAATAAAAATAAGAAGGAAGAAGTCTTTTGCCTTAGTCTGGGGTTTTGAAAGGTATTTTTTTTTAATTTATTTTGCACTGGACATCATTTATATGTATATGGTCAGTGCCTCTGCAAGCTTTTTATAAACGGTTTTTCCCCAGAAAATATATAAACTTAGGTCTGGAGTTTGTTTAACAGCATGAGCTGTTTATTAACAGCAGGAGCACACTGCAGATAAGATTGTGGGGGAGGTGACTGAAAAGTAGAAGCAGGAAATGGTCAAGGACTGAATCTTGGGTCCACCCCTTTTTGCTTACTGCCATTCTGCTCTTTCCTCTTCACCCCCTCCTTTTTGTGAGAAACTACTGAACTTGGAAGAAAGGCTCCATATTTCCATAGTCATGGCACTCTTTTCTTCCCTCACCCCAGTCTTTATAGCCATTATATGTGTTTTGATTGGGGTAATACTAAAGAAAACTAATGGAGAGAAAGAAAAACGTGACACTAAAAGCAAGCTTACATCTCGCCCATGGGTGGATGAAGATTTAAAAGATGGTACTGACCATCCCTTAGAGGAAGAAGGTAAGAAAAATCTTATCCATCTGAACACTTTGCTGTTTGAATTTTATCTGCTGAAATGAATAAAGGAGGTGTAATCCTCTGGACTTCTCCACAGTGACAGCAAGGTATAATGCTACCTTGTCAGCTTGTCAGCTCCCAGGAAGGAGGCAGTCCTCATGTCATGTCACTGTTGGTGTAAACCTCTATATCCTCCAGATCCAGGTCAGAGGGTAAAAAGAAAACACATTTTCAAAGACCCTATCTGTTGCTCTGAACAACAGATCTCAGACCTATGAGGGACTCTATGGGCAATGCAAGGAAAGAAAGAAAATCCTGCTGAAGTCCTCCCAACCTCTTCCCAGGTCTTTCTATCTGTATGTTGATTTTGTAGACTCTCATTCCAATTTATCACCCAGTGCTACATATTTGGTCTCAGCACCCCTAAAAAGTTATAAATTGTTTTAAGTCCTCCATTTGTGGCTTCTGAGAATGTCCCTGAAAGCTTTAGCTGGAACTAGAACCATTGGGGAGCTATGTTGACCAAATATTTAAGAACAGAATGTGGTAATGGTGCTAATCTCTTCACTCAGCTGACTATTTGAACCCGTACAGAGTGCCTCTTATTTTCAGTAGCTCTTTCTGATGCACAGCTTGGACAAAAGTCTAAACACTGCATGTACCGTTCCTTCTTCTTACTTCCTGACTATCCTCTAAAAATTCCCTTTATTTCCTTGTGAAATAAAAATACAAGAGTTCTATTCCTATGAAGTTTTTTAAGTTGTAGTTAATACAGCCCTCTTTTTTAACTTTCTTTCTTTTCTTCAAGCTGGCTTCAAAGTTTTTTGGGGGATTTTCTTTTTTTTTCATCTAATAATGACACATTCTCTGACTCTGCTTCTAGAAATCTTGAAACTTATATTGTTCTTCTGTACATATACTTACTTGTAAGAGCCATTATTTATTTTCTTTTCTCAGTGTTCAGTGTACTTTGAATTAGTGTTTTGTATCAGTTTCCAGAAATAGTTGATACGTGGAACATTTTAAACCATGTTGACTAATTCCCAAATGCATAAAATTTCTTTAAAAATTACTTTATGGGTTTTATCCTCCTTTTTTTTCAATGCAAAATAGATTCTGCATAAAATTAACTCATAATTCCTTTATCATGCTAGTTCAGTTAAATTGCTGCAAATTAAAATTCATGAGGGCAGTTTAAATGATAATCTATGAATTATCATCTTGGACTATACTTGTTTCTGTGAGTTTAAAAACTTAGATCCTCTAAATAAACAAACCTATTAGTTCTTAACAAGGAGCTTCAGTGCCACAGCTCCATATACAAAGTCATTCGTTTATGTGCTAGTTGCTTACCATTTTATTCAAGTGTTAAATTCAAAATTGTACTAGTTTAAAATTCCTTGCAAAAAATTTGACAGGTAGACATATTGGTGCTGTTGCTAAAAGATTTATTTGTTTTTAGATAAAACTTTTCTCAGTTTACCATGTCATCCAATATTAAAATAGGTTTTCTTGCTATTTTTCTTTTAATAATAAATAATTATCTTTCTCTTAATGGTGTGTGATTCAAACCATGTCTTTTATACCTAGAAAAATTAAAACAATTTCATCATGCTCTGGAAAGTTTTTCTTCAGCAGGGAAAGTCCAGCTTAAGTGAGAAGGGTAGCAATGAGAAGTAGAAGAGCTGGTAAGGATCTTTTACTAAGTCTGTAAGTAGAGATCAAAATGTATTCCCCTTGCTGTCAGTGTTAAAATTTTCACTGACTGCACTAGATGCTGAAATGGAAACATGGATGTAAACAGAGATTTTATAATAGTAAAGAATATTTTGTGTGCTGTGTAAATTCTGCTACTTTATTAACATATCTTACTTTATAAGATTTTCTACTTAAATGTCTCAAGCTGGCTTGTATTTAAAGTTCCTCTGAAGAGAACTCAAGGTAGGTGAGACGAAACATTCCTAAGGCCTTGTCTAATGCTAGAATCTAGGGCTGTCCCAGGTGAACAAACTGAATTTTCAACAGACCTTCAACAAGAAGGGACACTTAAGACCAAGTCATTTGATCTGTGTCCAGGACCAAAACAAGGTCTATTTGCCAAGCGTGTGAAGCACTCTGCAAGAAAAGCACTGACCTTACTTGTAGACATTGTGAACCTTCACTGAAGTGGCACCGTCAGGGATATTTCCCCTGAGAGGGACATACCTTTGAGTAGCAAAGCATTTAGTGTAATTAGCTGAACTGCTTGGGTAGACTCAGTAGGGTCACTTATTGGCTATGAAGTGTAGAGGAGTGAGGACCAAATGCTCTGGAGCTTGCATGTGTTCTGCTTTCAGTAGCTGAAGAGATGAGTGTTTCTTGGAGCAGACAGAAAACCAGTTCCTTCATTAGGTGGAAAGCACTCAGTCCATTTGTTTAATGCTTTAACTGGCAGCACTGCAGCTTTGTTTGCCTGCCTATCTGTCCTGTAACTTTTCCCTTCATCTGTAAGATCCAAAATGAGAGACTGTTGTGCTGTGGATTTGCAAGAATGGTTTGTATGTGTATACGTCTGTCTGTGTCTTGCCCGAGGCCATGTGTGGTTACCAGTTAGATACAGATGAAAAAGATGTTTCTTCAGCCTTGCCTTGAATGATGAGTCACAAGGGCTTTCCAATAGTAGTTGGCATCTTGTCCCAAAGTGGTGGTACCTCATGTCCCACTGATTTAGATTTACACAATGAAATCTGGACTATTGCAAAACCATCTCCAGTCTTAATGCGTATCAATCACTTTCTTGATCACATGTTCAGATCCATACAACTGACGGATAAAATAAACAGAGACCCAGCTTACAGTGGTGTGGAAGATGAGGTTGAATTCTATTTGTATCCTTGTTATTTTGGGTATGAGTTGCACAGATAAATAACAAAGATATTTTATTATTATATATTTAATTGTGGGGACATTGGCAATACACTCTACTTAAAGAACACAAAACAATGCAGGAAGTTCCAAATATTCTATTTCTTCTGAAAATGCACTGTTCATTGCTTGTCATACTTCTCATAATAGACCTCTTCCACTTCAAAGCATTTCTCTTCTCCCCAGTTTCAAAGACTTCCCACATCTTAATAATACTAATGACATGAATGAGTCAGTAGCAATTTAATCTTCCATTTCAGTAACAGTTCATGTTTTGTGTCATTTAGGAACACAGGACTCAGTCGGACATGATGCATTACTGTGTTTATCTCCCTGCTGCTGCAGACACATCCAGCCTTTGTCATCAGCAGAATGAACATGAAAACTGGCCTTTCATGACCCTGTTTCTTTAACCTTGCTGGAATGCTGGTCCAGAACTCCATGCTATAAGTTAAAAATCCTCTTCTACCTGCCTGTCCACTCAAACTTATTTAATACTACCGTATACCCATTTTTCCTGTTCCATCTTCTTCATAGTTTAAAGGATACTCTTCCAGCACTGGTATATATCCTCCTGTGGTTTATAGATAGAAATCAGATCACCTCTTAGCTTTCCATTTACTAGGTATACCAGCAAGTCTTCTCTTTATGAAAGAGCCACTCCATTTCTCTGAAGATCTTAAAAAACCTTTTGGAACTATATTCCAGTTTGACGTAATTTTCACAATATTTTGATTCTGGCTTCTTTCTTCCAGGGTCTGCCTCTCCCACTTGCTACTTCTTTTGTTTCTTTTTGCATAACCAACTCTTGGGGTTTCCAGGATCAGCCCGGTAGTCACTATTTATAACCCACTAGTAAGGCAATCCATCTCTTTTAATTCTCTTTTAGCCACACAGTTCAAGATTGGATTCACTACTGGGATTCCTGTAGTGGCAGATTTTGTAGCAATCTGCCATTAATCAAGCGAAAAACCACAGGGTCAGTTACCCAGAATTTAATGTCCAAAAATCTGAAAGGTTTCTTTAAATTTATTTAATTGTTTTCCTATGCATCGTCTTTACACCAGAAAAGAGATTTGCAAAGGAATTTTATGCTTAGGAAGCAATTCCTTAGAGAAGAAACTGAAAGGGCTTGTTTGACAGATTGCATCCTATTTAGTCTGAGTTTTCTGAAGGATCAGTCTCAGGATCATTTGTTAATATTATCTAGTGGTCTTTGCATAAAACCAAGAAGGGCACGTGTGACATTTCCTAGCGACATACAACTGGAAGCCAACAATACAGGGAAGTGTCAGTGTAGGTAAAATAAGTGACCAACAGAAGTGAAATGACAAGTAATTGTTCTCAGTGTGAGTTCACATTATTAAGAACTCATGGTAAGATTTTTTGCTACAAAATGGGGCAAAATTTATTACACAATTTATAGGCTGATTATAACCTCCCATATGAACTGCTGAGAAGATCACATCCTAAAAGGTATCTGGAGAGAAATTCCTGATAGAATTAGAGAAATAGTGCTTCTAAAATGAGATTTCATTAAAATGAGATTCATGGGATGCCTGAGCCAAAACCACTTCAGATTTTCTTAAAAGGCAGGAAGCCTGATGACTACTGTAAATGTACAATGGAATCAATGGCAATCTTGAGAATGAGGGTAACAAGGTAATAGACTTACTAGCAGGATGTCTGTTGTCCATCAAATGATGGAATACACAGAGATGTAAACAAGACACGTGTAGTATTGTATAATGTGACCATACAAACAGGAGAACGTCTAAACACGGCAACTAAAGATATAGAGAGAATGCACTAAACAGATGGTGCTGATAATGATTTTAGCTTAGCATATGGATAATGTTAACTGCTAAGAATGAATGGTAGACCCGTGGTAGAGGAGAATAAATAATAGATGAATTTCTTTTCAAAAAAAAAAAAAGTTGCCAGGAAAGTTTTGGTTTTGTGTGTCAGTTCCCTCACTTCTGGGTTCTTCTTCTCCCTCTGCCAATATTCCCAGTTAGAATGTATGAAGGTTTTTCATTCTCACAAGTTGTCTCACCTTTTTTCCATATTCAAATCTTTGAAAGTACATTTCCATTTTCACCTTACTATTAAGTTGAGCCATCTTGACCAAACAGCAATTGTACTTCTTCTCTTCTTCTTTCATGAGAAAAAAACCCCATACCACAAAACAAGCACACATTCATCACTACTTTACCAAGTGTAAACCACAAAGGAAACATTAGGAAAAGGCACCTTTTTACTTTTCAGTTTGAGTGTAGGTCACAAAAAAAATTTTTACAGCAGGTCACTGCTTCCCATTAACCTGGAGCCAGGTCCTTGCAGATTGTGACCAAGAGTGCTTAACAGAGGCATGAAATGCTAAACAAAGTGAATTCTCTGTGTATGCAAAATTAAATGTGTGCTGTTTGGGGACCAGAATAATTCTGTTTAGATTCAATGTATGAAACTGGATTTATTTCACCCTCTTGCAAATGCTGAGATACACTTGTGAATTTTCACTGCTGTTTATAAAATGAACAAAAATTCAGCCTAGTCTCTAAGGCAATTTCATACTACTAAAACACAGAAATAATTACTGTTTGAATTCACACTGGAGATTGCTATGATTCTGGAATAATAGCCTATTGGTGACTGAAGAAGAACTGGAATATTTTTCCTGACTCAGCTCTCTGTAGCAAATTGCTCAATACTATTGACTAGTCAAAAGGCAGCATTTAAACGGCTTTAACTTCCACATCATAGCCGCAAAAAATGCTCTCTCTGCTGATTCTAGGAATAAAGGGGAGAAAGACATCTCAGAGACAAGAGAAGATTCATTTTGTGATCTAAACAAACCCAGAGAGACAGATTTCAGTGAAATGGCAAACCATTTAGAGTTCTTAAATTAAAGATAAGAAACACAATATGCTATATTTGATATATTGTTATCCTAAGTATAGATGCCTGTCATCCATTTTGCCTTATGCTGGAAGTGTTGGGAAACCAAAGAACTTAACCACAAAGTCACATTTCTGCAGAGCTAAGACTTGCAGTGCTTCAGCTATGAAATGTGAATATTGAAGAAGTTGACATTCAGCTCTTCAGAGGAGATTTTACACATATTGGTAGTTAAACTCTCTCCTTAACTTCAGTAATTTAACTGGGATTCTTTTCTTATTAGACTGCTCAAGAAGGAACACACATGTTCACATTTACTTGCTAAGAAAAGTGGGCTGAAGGCCAGGCCAGTTTTTCACTGCTGTTTCAGCTTGTAACCCATTTTTGCAGGTAGGCTTGCAGGTTGAAGTGGAGAAGGCAACGAGTTTTTTGTGGATCACATTTGCTACAGCCAGCCAGGACCCTCGTGCCTCTTGGTATTTAAACAAGGTGTTTATTCAGTAGCTGGAGCTAGGGATCAATGAGTAGTGTCAACTGGAATCTCAGACTTTGCCTTACCAGTGGCGTAGAAGTTAAGTGTATGCCAATGCAGGACAAAGTGCATTCCAGTGGTGAATTCCAAGGATATCAACAGCATTCTCCAGGAAGAAAAAATCCCTAACCACTTGTGTTTTCTTACAGATGTTGATGAAGAGTGGCAAGGACTTGAAGAAAATGTTGCCCATGTCCCCTTCACTGCAGAGCGCTACTCTGAGGCTGAAATGATTAAGAGGTCACAAGCATTTTACGAGCTTCTAAATAAGAGGCGATCTGTCAGGTTTCTTAGTGATGAGCCGGTTCCCAGGGAGGTTATTGATAATGTCATCAGAACAGCAGGTATGGTACTGAGTGGTTCAAGGTCTGGGGGAAAAAAAAAAAAAAAGGGATCACCATTGTCGTTCAACTGTGTAACTGTGAAAAGGTGGTGTGGAAAAGCCAAGGGAATTGGCATTTTGCTTATGGTTTTACCAGATTCACCTGTTTAGCCAGAATGAATTAGCACCCATTGATTGATCAGAAATTACTCAGCTTGAACAACAAACAATATGTTGGGGAATTGTTTGGAGTGTTCTCAATTCCTTTGTATTTGCAGTTCACCCAGAGGATAAGAAGAGCATTTCAACAGCATGAAACAAAACACTTCATTTTCAACCTTTAAAAGATGTTATTTAAAATCAAATTTGTGCATGGTTTAGTGAGACATCTTTCAAACAGAAATATTAAAGTGTTTTCTCTTTAAAATGTCAAACCATGTGTACTTCACATGCTTTAAAATGCCATGCATTATAATTATCATGTGTGGGTTTTGGTGTTTGGGTTCCCCCCACAAACAAATTGATTGAATTTTCTTAGGCAAGCAAAATATTTGAGTTGACATAAATGGTTGGGGTTTATTGTAGAAAAAGAATGTATCTCTAGAAAAAAAAAAGCCTTTTCCAGTCCTTCTGACATCAGTCCAGACTCTCATTGCATATGACTGGAATGTTATGCTGAGGACCCTGATCAAGGTTATTTGATTGAATGTCAGAAATTGATTATTTTGTTGTTGTTGAGAATTTATGCATTTCAAATCATTACTGTCATGTCCTGGCCTAATCTCACCTCTCCTTTAGTAACACTGACTTCATCTAGGAGTGGTTTTGACCCTCATTATTTCTCTTATTCTATAAGCCAGCTGCTCCTGCTATAGAAAATATTCTAAGCTACCTTAGACAACAGCTCAGTGGCCTTTAGCAGGATTAATAATATAAAGATCGTCAACATTTAAGATGCATTGTTTTCCCTTTAAAAACAGTAAGCAGCTTTGTTACTGCACTGTAACGAGTCTCTGTCTTCCTCTAATTAACTAGGAGTCATTAAAACACTGAGCATGTTTTGGCAAAAGCAGCAAATCGAACAAGCCTGGCGTACAGATGAAGTACTTAGTAATCCTGAAAGCTTTGGGCTGTGTAGAGAAAAAGAAAACAAAGTGAAGAATAAATATCATCAGTTTTTACCCAAACCTGAGGAGAGGCAAGGTTCACAATATATAAACATTTTAATATATAAAGATAGTTCAAGCTGCTTATTCAGTGTTTCTCAAACTAAAATCAGTCCTTAGGTAAGCAACTATGTGTTTAAGATCTTCAAATATTTTTAAATGTGTATAAGAGATCAGAGACATCTAAGCAGTCTTCTTAACCTGTATATCTGTGAGCCTGTGCGTATCCTTCAGCTTCTGTTTTTTAATCTCTAGGCAGTTAAAATGTTCCCCTATGGTACTGGTGGGTGAGCAAGTGCAGACTTTATATGTGCACACCTACATACGCCAGATTCCTTTGGGACAAAAAACTCAAAACTGTATGCTATATGGTAGATGTCTTTGTTGTGCAGCTCCTTATCTTCGTCAGTTAGTGACAGGTTCCTGTGGTGATCACTTAGTCTTGTTTCCCTGAAAGCCATTAGTTTTGACTTTTAGCTAAAATCAGGTCTCAGAGCTGGCTGCGTATTCAGACAGTGCATTGTTTTCGGTATAACGCTTTGCAGTAACATTTCTGTGGGCTTATGTTGCACCATGTTACTGTTTCATCATAAGAACCAAAAGGAATTTTTACAAATCCTTAACTTTCTCTTCCTGTAAGATGGTTGTATGAAAGGACTAACCTCTGTCCTTGAAGGGGACTTATCATTCTTTAAGAAAGAAATGAACAGGATTGTCTGCCAGAACTTGCCTCAGTCCTTTTCCTCCTGTCTCATTCTCTTGCTTTCCCATCACTCTGTTAGTCAGCCTGAAAGCTCGCATGGAATAGCTGAAACCTCTCACTGCCCACCCTCCTTCCTGGGTTTTCATCTTTCCCTGTTTTTATATGAAGGTACCTCACCTAGTGGAGCACACACTGAGCCCTGGACCTTTGTGGTAGTGCAAGATCCGTATTTAAAACGTAAAATCCGTGAAATTGTAGAAGAAGAAGAGGAAATCAACTACAAAAAAAGGATGGGCGACAGATGGGTTAATGACCTGAAAAGACTGAGGTATGAAAACTCAATTAGCTAAGGAGTTTGAAAGAAGATGTGTTTTAGTCTAGGAAAGACTTATAAAATTTCCAATTTCATCTTCCCTCTCACTTTTAATATATTTCTAAGATTCATGCTTGGAAAGAAAAACTTATAAATATGCATAGAATTGTGCCTTGGTGGCTGGTTCATAAAATTGCTTCCAGTAAAAGGTGTTATAGGCTCTCCATCTTGAAAGTTTTCCAAGCATTTGGCTCCATCGTTATTTTTTCCTATGTAACCTCTGTTGCTGAAACTCTTGTCCTAGATTTTTCCTGTTGTTTGCCAAACAGTGAAGCTCCCAAAGTCATTGGAAGCTTTGCTACTGACTGAGGTAGCCCCAAGCTTTGCTACTGACTGAGGTAGCCCCAAGGCTCTCCCTACCCAAGTGCTGAATTAATATTTATATGCAATATTTAATTGTCCCAAATGCCCTCCAAAGTCTGACTGAGTTGCTTAACTTCTTGCAATGAGGAGATGTTTATTGAATCTTGACTTGTCAAATGAAACATATGCTCAAAGTTTTGTAGAGTTTATTTGCCCTACCTATTTCATAATGTTATTTTTCATGTGCTTAGGTGCTATGCAAATTTATGTCCTATGCAAACAACTAAACTCCAGTATATTTTATATTTTGGGTGTGAACAGTAGAAAGTGCACATTTTCTTATCCAAATCCTACATCATAATTAATATATTTAAATTGTCATTTAAAAAGTTGGGAGCCAAATTAATTCTAACAGGGCTGAAATATCCAGAAACAAAATAACTTTTTTTTTTTTTTTCCGTGAGGATACATTTAGGTTTAGATCTTAGACAAAGAAGTGTTTAACTTTTTTGCCAGCAGTTTCCTCTGCAATCACAAAAAATTTGGCACTGCTGGTAACAAGCAGATCTCCAAAATTCCAGGAATTAAATAATCTCACAGGCAAATGCCCATGAGGCAAATTCATAGACAAGAGGTAGCTTATTTGTATGCAATTCTACTCTTCAGAGTGAGCACATCAACTCCTCAGCCAAATCTGTTAAAATTGAGAACTCTACTTAAGCTTTTTTTTTTTCAAAAATGTTTCTATTTAAGCTGATAATACTTAATCCTTTGCAGTAGATGTTCTAAGCTTTAGTCTACTGCTATAATTGTCATGTACCTTTAGTGCCCCTCTGCAGACGGTAAATGTGGCTTACAAGAAAGTGAAAAGGTTGCAAAATAAATGTCTTAAACATTATTTTGCAGAACAAACTGGATCAAAGAGTACTTGGACACTGCTCCATATCTGATCCTCATTTTCAAGCAAGTATATGGGCGGCTTCCAAATGGCAAGAAAAAGACGCATTACTACAATGAAATCAGTGTTTCTATTGCTTGTGGTATGCTGCTTGCTGCACTGCAGGTATGTTGACAGAATCAACATCACTAGGAGTCAATTTATTAGCTTGGACTACATACCAAGACTATTCTGCCCAAATGAGAGTGGAACACAATTTAAATTTTATCATTATCGGTCCTCTGGAATACTCCAATTCCTGGCAATGTATCTTAGTTCTGAGTTTTAAAGTAATTCCACATAGGTCTACATCTGAGAAGGTAATTCCTATCATCAGCACTGGTTAACAAGAAGAAAAATGCAATGTAGCTTCCAGAGTTGTCACTCTTTCTAGGCAAAGACTTCAGCTCCTGTGGTGTCTGCCTTATGCTAACAGGGCTGACAAGCCCTGCAGACTACCCAAGCATGGCTGTGTGGTGCCACACTGGTCTCTTTTTCTCAGTAATCCCTAAAAAACATCCTGACACCAAATCACTTTTACTACACAATACTGGAAAAAAATTTAAAAAACCAACATACTCCGCAGAACAGGCTGTACTATTTCAATCAGTCTTTCCAAGACATTTCTAGAAGTGAACTGATTTCTAAAGCTCAGCAAGTGTTTGACACCAGCCAGTTAGATTTGCTCAGTGGTTTCTCAGTGCTCATTTCTTCTTCTTATATCTGATGTACTCACACAAGTGTTTAAATAGCAAAGCTATTCTGATAGTTAACTTGGCCTGTCAGCAGGATAACAACAAGGTGCCACCTCTTATATTAGGCCAATTTCCTACCAGGCACTGCCGTTTCTCCTCCATTCTGTTTTGAATGACATTTCCTTTCGTGCATTGGCTGCTCCTCAGGCACCACTGAGCACCACCAATATTAGCTCTTCTCCTCTTGAGAAGATCATAGAGATTACTAAACACGAGAGGTGCGTTGCCTGAGCACCTCTCTCTGGCTGACTTTTATATCTCAAAGACTCTCAAAATTCTGGTATTACATTTACAGAGAGACTGAAATCCACATATGCAGTTCTCAGGAAGCGACTCAGCTATGTGCTCATACCTTGGATGATGTCAGCTCTTTATTGTTTGTCAGATTTTTTTGGTCTTTTGTGAGATTTTGTATGAGAGGAGGACTGATACATAGACCTACTTTGGGGTTCTGATATAAACTGGAACAATATGGCCACTGTGAGAGACAAAACCAGACTCCTGTGACAACTTCTGACACAGTGCCTGTTCCTCCTTTCCCTGTGGGGAGCAGATGTTCACAAAGCTGTAAGGCATCTTCCTGTCAGCTCTGTGGAGGCAAGAACTGAAACATTTCTCTGTGTGAGCCAGATCATAGAATCAGAATAGTTTGGGTTGGAAGGGAGGTTTAAAGGTCACCTAGTCCAACCTCCAACTCCATGGGATGAACTTCCCTGTGACCACGGGTCCCACTCTCTGTGGAGTATTGCGGGCCAGGCCAGCCCTGGCTGTACGGTACACAGATGAGGCAGGCAGAGAGTGCCTTTGCTGTGTTGGAGAAATGCTGTACTTTTCCATAAGCAAAGCAGGCATCTTTTATGGTACCATTAAGGCTGTTAGTAAATCAGATGTTCTAAAGACTGCAGCATGAGCTAACAGAGCAGCATTTCTGGGCAAGTCAATAGGAGAATAAAGGTCTGGTGGGAACAACTGCTACAAATACAGAGCACAGACCTCTGTCTCACTCTGTTGCTGTCTGTCTTGCTGCAGAATGCAGGTCTGTACACTGTCACCTCCACACCCCTCAACTGTGGCCCCCAGCTCCGGGTGCTGCTCCAGCGCCCAGCAAATGAGAAGCTACTCTTGTTGCTCCCTGTTGGCTATCCCAAGAAAGATGCTACTGTGCCTGCGCTGACCAGAAAGCCGCTGGAAGACATCATGGTGGTCATGTGAGCCCAGTGCCAGGAGGAAGGAGTTCATCCCTGCTGCCAGCTAGGAAGTAGCAGCCTGATGAAGTTGTCATTGCTGTTTCTTTGCATCATCTCCCTATGTCACTGTCGCTCTGGCAGTTTACATCTGTATTTCTTTTAGTGCTACTAACAGCAGTGAGCAGTCAAGTGCTGTGCATTTGACAGGTGCTGCTACTTATGAGACCAGGCAGTTGGTCTAGGGGACAATGGCATTTAAGTGACCTTCATCACTTAATTTTTCTCATGCATTGCTTGGACAAATCTTTCCTTGAACTGGGATATATATTCTCCTTATACTTTTGTGATTGTCATTACACAGTTATTTTAACTTAAGAATTTTAATGAAGATTGTATTAAAAGATATAAAGAGGTCAAACAGCTGTCTTGGTCAGTGCGTGCTGTTTAAATGCCCCTTCCCCTTCACTATGTTCTGCTATAAAAATAGAAGGATGATATTTTTCTCTTATAGAATAGGATCTCTCCACTTGATTGATCTCAAATACCTTGTCTATACCAGGCTTTCTTAAACTATTGCTGCTATGAGATTGGGGGAAATGTACTAGGAAAAAGTGATCCAAGTAATTTTCCTGTTACCTTTTTTTTTAATACATGTTCCAGGTCCAGTTAGATCATATGGTAGGTATTAACCATGCTCCCTGTATTCGCTGCCTCCACTGGAAGCAGCCCAGAGGCAGCTACTGTTCTGGTTATCCTGTTTATTACAGCTACAACTACACCAGTTTAACACCCTGAAATTTAAACTGCTCTACAGACCCTGACACATGAGAGGTGCTTTCCTGTCACACCAAATCAGGCATGGTTAGGGATATTGCTTCCCACAAAAGCAGTGCCTCCTTACTCAAAGCGAGATGTAGAGGGGCGGCAGTGGGAGCTGCGCCCTGGAAGGGCTGGTGCTGCCGATCCCTGCGCGGGCAGAGCCCCCTCGTGGGGCCGCAGGTGCCGCCGGCTCTGGGAACAGCGCAGCGTGAAAGCGCCGCGAGAGAGCCGTCCTTCCTGCGGGTCTCTGTTCTGTGAAACACTTTCCCACCCTGATTTCTGCTGCGTCTAACTTCAGGCAAATTCAGCCACATTGGCTTCAGCCCTCCCTGGACGTTGCTGGAGTTGACTCGCTGCTCCTTGTCTGAAGTCTAACCTGGGCTAGAGGAATGTGTCCCTGCACACAGCAGGGGGATTTGAGCTAGATGATCTTTCAGGTTCCTTCCAACCCAAACCATTCTATGATTCTGTAATTCTGTAAGTCAATCCCATTTCCTATCACCCATTGTCAGCCAAGCAAATAGAGGGGATAATGTTTAACAGAGGTACAGATTTTTGGCCATGTCAGTGCTTCTGTTACCCAGTGGGAAAAAACATTTTTCTCTTTAGCAGACTATTTTCTGGTATTTAGCAGGCATGCCTAAATGTGTTCACCTATTGTACTAATCTTGTTTCACATGCTCAGTGATACAGCTGTGGCAGGAAGCTCTTAGTGCAGGCCTAATCTGAAATGAGCTCTTATAACTAAACTAAACTAAAATAAAATAAGGAAGTCCTGTTTCTACACACTTGCAAGGTCTAAAAGCTAGTCAGGGAGAGAGGGATGGGCTGAACCAAGCCAAGGCTGACTAGCTGCAGGTGCCCAGTTATCAGGAATACATTTTAAGTCACTGTTGCAAGTTTTCCTTCTGTGCAGATGCTGCTCTGCTCCACCAGGCCTTTTCACAAACCATTTTTACCTGCTGTAAAAATGATGTTTTTTTTAATTCAGAATTCATATCAATAGAGGGAGGATTAATCTCTGTCATGTTGCAACCTCTCCTATAGCTACAGAAAGAAACTGCTGCTTCCTGGTCTCAGTCTGCAAAATAGACAACACTCAGAGAAGCTTTATCAAATGAATTCAGTTTCAAACAACAGGAGCTTGCATATATAAGACTATTTCCAGTATGATTTCATAATTAAAAAACAAAGAACTAAACCAGTTTAAAAATACACAAAGAATTGTCACCATAACAAGCATTGGTATATATCGGTTATACTTCTTTACACCAAAGAAGATTAATGGTGGTTTTTTTCCCATGTGTTGGTTCTGGAAACCAATATACATGTAGTAGTTGAAAAACTTAAGCCCTCACACCTACTAGATCAAGAAGATTCTTCTTAGATCATGAAACGTAAGTAAAATAAGCTTCTTTTTTTCCCCCCTCCCAGACAAGTGGTTATTCAATCACAAATGCTTCAGTAGTATTACAATTGCTGGTGATACTGCAGAATCTCTTGTAAATCATGCTAGTGTTCCTGCTATGACAAGCCTACTTGGAACTGCAAGTGTTCTCTAATAAGTGCACTGTCTTTACTTCAATCACAATTAAAGAATAATAAATTTTTCCTTTCTATTCAGCACATTATTAAAAAAAAAAAAAGGTTAGCATTTAAATTATTTTACACTTAATAAGGGATACCTCTATGGTACTTGTTCAATTTCAAGGTAAAAAAATGTTTTTCTGCTGTCTAATTGCAGTTTCCCATATTTCAACTTGTGTCTGTTGCCTCTCAGCCTGTTGCTATGCATCTGGCTTCATCTTCTCTGCATCTTCCAATCAGGTAGCTGCAGACAGCAATCAGGTCTCCCCATTCATGGAATCTTTCTTCCTTGAACTGCGTGGACAAATTTGTGTACATTCAAGGATTCTCACTGTCTGAAGTTTGTCCGACAAACAGGCTGTCTTGGGTTTGCTTAAAGTCAGGTGCAACACGGTGGGTTGCATCGCAACCCAGATGACTGAAGGAATAAGTATCACATGTTGTTGGAATCATGGCAAACTGCCCATCTCCTCCCTCTGCATGGATCACTAAACTGGCATTGGTTTTAGTGTGCCCTCAAATACAGAGCTGTAAGCTATTGTAGCCCACCTGGCACCTCATTAGCAATCCAGCTGGCCACCAAGTGTGGCAGGGAAGCATTACCCCTGGAGGAGCAGCAGCATCTTACCCAGTCTACCATCTTCCTTTCCAGACAGGTGAGTCAAAACCCAAATGACTCTGCTTGAAAATAATTTTTTTTTTTTATCTTAGGGATTTTAGGGATTTAGAGGTCTGAGGAAATTTACACATGCCATCTCCTTCATAGCTTAGAACTCACCTATGTGATTGAGTGCAAGATTCTCTTAAACTAGCTGAGCTTTAGTAACCATCTAAGTGAACAGCTCTCTGCTTGAAGAAAATAGTGGGTTGTCAGCATTTAGCTTCTTTGCAAACAGTTTAAAGCTAAGTGTTGCTGTCTTACGTTTGATGGAAATAACTGTGCCCAGGAACAGCAACTGAGCTGGTGCTCAGGGATGTATCAAGCTGTAGTTTATCAGCTGTGTATTTGAGCATTTCTTACCATATAAATTTACACCAGTATAATAAAAGTAAAACACTTTTAAGGTGCAAGGAAGTACTAACATGGTGCTCTGTAGCCTAGATGAACAGAAGCACTCAAGCCCCACACTCAGGTTGTGGTTTTGCTTTAAGTTGCAGCACTTCAAAGATATTTAAGCAAGAAAATGTGCAGTCAGCATCTGATTGATTTATTTCTTTAATTGCTACATAAAATTTGGCCCATGAAGAATGAATCTTGAGAAATAATCCAGCTTGCACTCCAAGGCAGGATCAGTTGTATTTGAATGCCAGGTACTGACAGAACATGAGTTCACAGCACTAATCCACTGCTCCAAGCAAAACACTGGGAAGAAATAAAAACTCAAAAGCTAATTCTGTCAGCACATGCAAGTCCTAAGAAGTTTTTGTTTCCAGAAGGGCTCAGCCTTGGCTTCATGTTGCTGTCATTGATGAGACCTCTATGGAGATCATTAGGAAGAGATTGGCTGCCGTATTTTTTTGAGGATTTCCGGCCACCTGAGCTTAGTCAAAGTAAGAACTGCAAAAGTAGAACAGACTCATGACTCAGAACTCTCAAGGCATTTAATTATTTTTTTGGCTAACATTATCAATATCAGACATCTATGAGAGCTCAGTCTTTGCCCATATGGACAGAACTCTCCTATGCTTGTGGATTTAAAGTAATGAGAACATTTAATGGCATGAAAGCTGAGCAACAAATCCATTCAAATTTAAGATGGAGGAGAGTTCCTCAAGCTTGAACCAGTGCAGCAGCAAGTTACCAGTTAAACGGCACATCCTGTTACAGGTTGTGTGTGTTTAATCACTGTTAACCTTGGCTACAAGATTGGAACTGAGTTGAACTAGTTCTGGTAGAAACAACAAAGGCAGTCCAATACCCTGGTGACACAGTCTAAGGCTTGGGAAAAAAATACTGATCAGTAAAATGGATAACAACCAAAACCTCAAGGCATCAGTTACCAAGTTTTTCAAGACATAGCATTAAGAGAGGTGGTGTTGAAAGTGTGATTTTTAAGAGGCAACCTGTGAAGCACTTAGAGTTTTTCATGAGGAGCTATCCTGTGTCTGAGGGTAAGTTCTTGCCTATTACTACAGATCTTGTAATTGAGATCACAAGTGACTCAGCTTGAAAGGGTGAGACCAGAGGTGGATACTTGTGTCCTACGATGTGACAGTGTTTGTGAAGTTATCCTGAGGAACACCTCCTGCAAATAGTTAAGTTCAGAGTGTGTTTATTGGGAGTAAGATAGAGACAAGCACAGCAGTGGAGACCCACAACAGTCACAGATATGCTTCAAAGAGAGGATCTGCTTTAACAGCCTGACTTTTTTTTTTGTTCCCCACTGGGTATGCAGTAGAGACCCTGGTCTGTAGATTTTAATGAAGTTTTTTTAATGGATTTTAATGAAGTTTTTGTGTTATTGTTTTTTTAGTGCAAATTTTCTAAATGTCAGAAGGCTTTTAGCATCTTCAAACTATTCCTTTAGCTTGTTCATAGGATGGTAATTATTCATTCAGCCTGCAGAAGGCTGTCACAATCAGTTCTCTGTGCAACCAACGCCAAGGAACCACTCTGAGATAAAGAGAAAAATGTTCTCTTGCAGCTTACTGTGAAAGACATCTCTATGCAAGTAGTACTACCAGGTGGAAGGGGTAACAAGGACCTCCTAGTTTTGCCTTCCTGGAACAAATCAATATGAGATGTGATGTAAGTCACCCCTTTTTCAGTCTGAAGATCTTAGGCTGCTTTCAATAACAGTGTAATCTTTGTGTAGCAGTAAACTTGTTCTTTGGTCTTTATGACCGGAAAAAAACAAGAGGGAGACAAGCCATGACTACCATGAAGTGCATAAGGGGTCAAAGAGCTGAGAAGAAAAACAGCTTTCCTGTGCTGGCCAGTGTCTTTGTTCCTGTTTATAAGCTGGAGTGCATCAAATTTAGAGCTCGCTAGATTTCAGGATATCATATGACTCTTGAAAA